ATGATTGGGTCTCTCGAAATTGAAAAGCAAACACAGGCAAACCCCATAACGAGGCCGACCCATAGCAGCACGTACGGCCCGGCTGCATGCCCCCATAGCGAGACTTAGGCCACATACCATTTGCCAGAAAGAAAACTTGCACTGGGCTCTCAGAGCAGCAGCGCCTCGAGCATACTAATAATATATACAAAGTCAATTTGAGGCGCGTTTAGAGATGGTTTTTTTTTGGGTCTTTGGGTTTGCGGGTAATTACCATGCGCCATAGTTACGCCCGGCAAGCTGCATAAATATTGAAATTAAATAATAACAAATGCCATAGAATAAATAAGCCAGCCAACTGTAAAAACAATACGTAATAGCAGCAATCGTAAAAAAAAAATTACGAACACATGCGTTCGAAATTCCAACTGAATATATAAAATAATATTTTAATATTTGATATATTTTGTTGCTGTTGGTTACACACATTTGTTTCTTTCAGAAATGTGTCGCCTTATGGCTAGAAACCCATTGGGGCTGGTTTAAAGTCGAGCTGTTGTTGGCTTCTGGCTTCTGGGGTAGCCCCGGAGTTATTCCACTTTTATTTTAATTTCCTTTACGAGGGCAGCTCGCATTTTTTTGTTTATTTTTTTCGTTTTTTTTTTTTCGAGAAACCAATAATGCCGCACTTCAGCGGGCCATAAAAGTAGCATAAAAATGCAAAACGAAAGCTAAACGCGGCCCCCGCGTTGACCCACCCAACCACCCGGCAACCCCACAGGCAGCGATGGTGGTGGTGGTGCGTCGTGCGGTGCATAAAAATAAGTAATATCGTAAAAATTACAGGAAATAAAAATCGCTACGTAAATACGTGCAAGTGCAGGAGAGCGAGAGCCACAGTCAGAGCGAGAGCCCAAGCCAGACACGAAGGTGGAGTTGGAGCCCGAGTTGGCCAACTTTCTCGCCGTCTGAAATTGGCAGTAAAATTATGGCAGACAGCGCTGCGAAAAATGAGGAAAATTGTAACAGACATTCAGGCGGTTGGCAGAAACGTGAACGCAAACAACTATTAAATATTTGGCCAGTCTGAAATTGAATGGCCGTCTGAAGTTCAAGTTACCAGCGAGCGATGTTGGCTCTCTGGCCGTATTTCAATAAGGCGAATAACAAGTATACGCCACATGCGCCATGAATAATTCATGCAGCTCACTTTTTTAGCCACATTCAGCATAATTACTATGCCGACTCGAATTACATCCTCCGGCCTTAGCATCTCTGCATTGTTATGCAACTGCCAACTTATTAGCTGAAAGGTAATCGTGTATTAGTTATATTTTAGGCATGGCCAGGCTTTAATCGAAACAAAGCCAAGACACTCGCTCAATTACGACAACTATGAGAATGCAAAACAGTTTGCTCTAACAATGTATAGCCATGTTAGAGACATTTCCTTTACAACATTAACAATGCAACTGAATTTCCAATTACACAGCGAATGTGCATGTGTGTCTCGGTGTGTGTATGTGTGTTTGTGTGTGTGTGTGTGTGTGTGTGTGTGTGTGTGTGTGTAAAGCCCATAATCATTTCAAATGGCAAATTATGACAGCGAGTAGGGGCCAGAGCAACAACAACAACAACAACGACTACAACTACAACTACAACTACAACTACAACATAAACGAATGACAAGCAAATGAAATGAGCTTTTAATCAATTTCCGGTATTAAAGCGCAGACAATCATTCAACAATGATTGCCGTTGTTGTCGTTGTTGTTGTTGCTTGTGTTGTTGCTGCTGCTGTTGCTGCTGATGTTGCATTTAATTAACAAACAATTTATATTCATAAACCTCAATCGGTCACATGCAAATGCACATGGAACCTGGGCACATGGCAAACAGAATAAAAAAGAAGAAAATAATAATGTGTCCGAGGGGGCAAACAAAATGCGATTTAGCAAAAGCGGAAATACTCTTTGAAAAAATAGCCCTAAAGATACCTCACCTAAAAGGTAACTTAAAGTTAAGCTTCTAATATTAATAATAAGATAACATTTGTAGCTTAAGCCTTCTCCTAATCATCAGCCCAGAATAAATTAAGTTAAGCATATTCAAAATCAAATTGAATTTAATAAATACTTAACACATTTATTACTGAATTTGTCACAGTGTATGCCTTAATCTGCTTATGCACACATTGGAGACTACGCAGCAAACTGACTGATAAAAGCAATATGCTTCCGTCAAGGGTATGCAAATTATATCAAAAACTGTGGCTGTAATAAATGTTGCAAATGCGTGCCAGCCAATACGAAATTGAGTGTGTGTGAGTGTGTGTGTCTGTGTGTGCTGCGCGGCTATGTAGCAGAGCTCTGAGGGCAGCAAAAACAGGCATGAAACGAGCGTCCAATGTGCAACATGGCAACTCATTGGGGGCTGCGTACCTGACTGCATGAAAGCCTCCCTGCCTCGCTGCCTCGTCCCTGCCACATGGCAAATCTGTTGTAAGACAGACGCGCAGCGGGCAGCCAACAAAGCGCCACATTGTTGATGYTGATGTTGTTATTGTTGTTGCTGCTGCTGCCACGTGTTGCCAACATATGCGGGCCACATCAACAACAGACCAGCACAGCAGCAGCAGAAGCATGCCCACAATTGGGCATGGCTATTGGCTAGGCATAAGCTGCGCATCGATAGGGCATCGGGGAGGTGGGTGCAGCTATCATGTGGTGTGTGAAAATGGGCGGAGCGAATGCTCGCCAAAATTCCTAATGCCCCTGACACACAATTAGCCCCGTGACCAACGCCAATGCCCGGGATGCGAGGGGAGAGAGAGAGAGAGAGGGAGAGAGTGGAATAGCGAGCTTAGCGAATCATTAATTAAACCTGGCGAAAACATACAGCAAGAAATTATTATAATGGACGCATGGGAAATAAGAGGAAAACCCTCTGCGAGTCAGCTAATTAGCATGCTCGAAATTTGTTGCCAGTTGCTGTACGGGGAGAGGGGAGACACTCAGCTGGCAGAGGGGCAGCACTATTTTTGTTTGTCCAATTTCAGCCTGCGCGCTAAGAGAGAAACCGAGAAAATGCCGCAAATAAGCAGACAGGCTATAAGGCAGAGACAACAACTACAGACACCACGGGTCGCCCCGAAAGGGCAAACAAAATTAAGACTAAAGGTCAGCCAAGCAAACAGCACAAGTATGCCAACAGAAAGACCCAACAACAAATACCAAAGCAGAGACGACGCTAAATAAACAAAGGTAATGCCCCAAACACAAGAGCACCAGAAGATCTGGGAAAGAAACGAAACGACAGTAACCCTGATTATCCACTTATTCCTGCTGACTTAAGAGCTAAAAGTTCTATTATGATTTTAGTTAGACCTAGGGATATATGTATATTGATTATCGGGCAGATAATTCGTCATTAATCAACAGATCATTCAGAAAATAATTGAAGCTGAACTTAAAAACATATTTTATTTTTAGTCAAAAAATTTGTTATGTTCTAGATGGAATGATTGGCAGACTTAGTGAATGTTACCTGGCAGTCAATCATGATCGATAGACAGTCCGTCAGTCATTAAATCGGCTATCCAGAAGTCATTATTCATAGAACATATTTACTGATTTTATAATATATGTAAATAAATATTTAAAATATTATTTATTTGTTATTGATTTCAAACTAACTATATATAAATAGAATATATACATTTCTTTAAATCTCAAATATTTATATGTACTTACATATATCGTATATAGCTCATTTTATATGTATATATACAAATTTATATTTATTATTTAGTTAGACAATCAATCAATTGGTCATTCAAAGCGGAAAGTTGTATACAAATTGATATAGGCACATACACATATACATAGATACATATATGCATGCATTTATATCACTGAATTAGTCAATCAAGCAGTCAGTCGATCAATCAGTCAGTTAGACATAAAAAAGAAACAGTTATATATGTATATTCATATACATTTATCTGCTCTTGGCATAGCCACAGCACAAACTCATTAAAGTCGGCTCCGCTTGGCTCGTCCATAAGAGCGGGCTACGGAGTATAATATAGACATTTCCTATAGATAGCCAAGTCAAAAGAGCTGGCCAAAAGTCGCAGTGGAGGCAAACGAAAAGCGACTGCAAATAAAAAAGTTGCCTTTAGTTACTTACTTTATGTTTACCATTGCTATTGTTGTTGTTGTTGTTGCTGCTGTGGTTGTTAGCGGCCAAAACGTGCAATTAAATGCTATGTAGAAGCGAAGATGGCCAGGCGAAAAGCAATGGCCAATAGCCTATGGTCAACTTATTGGCCGTCGCTTGCCAAATGCAATGAATGAAGCAGAAATACAAAAAAAAACTCTCAGAGAATTGCATAAAAAAGGCAGCAAATAAAAATAAATAAGTAAACAAATAAAGGAAACGGAATAAATAAACAAACAGCAATGCCGAGCAGATGTTGAAATACCCTACTGAGAGGAACTTAGAAGTGTGATTAGCACTACGTCTGTATAAAGTTCAATTTAATAGAATATGCCAGATCATAGTGAAAGTGAATAGTTTAGTTCAGATAACCTCAGCCAAATGCTGATGCAGATAGCGATAGACTGAGGCACAAGGCTATACCTAAACTACTCAAACAGATTAGAAATGAAACTATAACATAATTCAAACTTTGCTTCTTTTTCATTGCGATGCTAAAATTTCATTACCCTTGGCTAGAGAGCAACACGATCTCACGATGAGTAGCGATTGCTAATGGACTTTATCGATTGCCAACCACAAAGATACATTTTGCAATGCCACACACACACACACACACACACACAGCTACAGGCAGAGAGGCACTCAGCTAGCGATGCTCATAATGATCTTAGGCGCATCGCTTCATATCTACCTCTCTCCGATACCTGCATTTCTTTCGCCTCGTGCGCTGTCATTGACATTGGGATGCAGAATTCGCGAGCTTTGCAAATTAGTTTTTCGTTTTTGTTTGGGCCAAACGCGTCGCGAATTCGCGCAAATTGGCGCATTATAATTTTATTGCAACTATCTTCGATTGAATTAATAGGGTAATTACGTGCACCTATAGACATGTGTGTGGTTATATACCCTATATATGCTCAAGGATTGCGTAAGCAAAGCCAATGTGCAAAAGTCGAGCGTCAAATTGTTAATTGTTAAATACAATGTTCTTTAGTGATGTGAATTGCTATGTGAATTGCAATTGCTAATTACCAGACGATTATTTATAACTGTGTGCCAGTGTGTGTGTGTGTATGTGTGTTTGTGTGTGTGTGTGTGTGTTTTAAAGTTCAAATGTGCGTTTGTCGGAAGTAGTTTATTCATTAAAAGGTGTCTATAAATAAAGTCGACATTCGCAACGACAACGACAACGACAACCACAACGACGTCGACGTCGACGTCAGCGTGAGCAGCCAAGGCGGCGTATACGTAATACCCTGATAGCGGCAACCCCTCGTGTTTGCCTAACTGCAACTGTTCAGGTTTATGCATACATAAGCACACCTTTTGCTTTATAATTCTCAGCGCAAGTGGGTCATGCAAATGGGCAATTGCCGATTGCCAACTGAGTGGGCATGCGGCTGCAAAGGAGGTGGGTCTGAGCAAGGGAGGTGGTGCGGGGGGACGGGGGGTCTGCAATGGGTTGCATGCCAAGATTGCGAAACGAGAGAAGCCTTGCTCCACTTACGGCCCAAATGGGCGGCAATGCCAATCGTCAGCAGCTAAATGCCTTCCGCAAATCTCGCCCAGCGTTGGCCCGAATGGCAAACACCCTCGAGCAATGCCCAAGCTGAAATAGTTCTGAGATCAATTTCGTAATGTCACTCAGATAAAACGGCAAAAAGTGTTACTCACAGCAGTTAAACAAGCAAGCAACACATTTTCAAGACTTTGAGCTTGATTGAGTAGCTCTAGCACGCCTTTCAACAATTTATAATATTTTAACAGGGATTGTGTGATCATTCTGATATAAATTTCAACTTAGTCATGTCAAAACTTTCACGCAGTGCACACGTTTTCAACAGAATATCAGTTTGATATCGGGAATATTTCTGTATATTATTGATATTTATAGCGCTGCCCGTGTAACACTTTAATTATGGCTAGATTAATTGTATGATGTGAAATTGATTACCTGAATCACTCGATCAATTCTCAACAGCTCAATGCACAATATCAATTAATGAAATTGGTTTTGCCAACGTGGAATCACTTTATAATACATATACATACATACATATATGAAATTCACAGAAAAAAAAAAGAATTAGAAACAGGTTCTAATATCGGGAACACACGATTGCCAGAATTTTTACGTTGGCCCCAAAGGGCAGTCACATTAGCATTAACATTAATCATGGCAACGTTTGCCATGCAATTAACCAAATGAAGCCTGCCTGCATTTAAGTGCTGACAATGGCAACAGTCCAGCAACAGCAACAGCAACAACWACAGCAACAGTAACAACAACAACAATGCTGCTCGAGCTGAGAAACTTGACGAAATCATTAGGCTAATGTGGTCGATAAGTGACTGCCCCACGGCCAGCCAAGGGATGGGAGCGTGCGCGGAGTAGGTCCAGCGGAAATGGTCTACCTACATTTGAGGGGCAGAGAGGGAAGTCTAATGCGCATTTAATACGCCTGTGAAACAAAGCAACAGAGCTCAATGGGCGCTTCATACGCCATGCGTAAATAAAAAATGAATTACAATTAGAATTCAATTTTCAATTAATAATGAGCGTGAACTATTGAGCCTCATTTATCAGCCATCAGTAAAATTATTGGGTACATAATTGCCAAAAACAGACTACACACACATATAATGGCAATGGAAAGTCATATGAGATTTATCAGTTAAATCTACAAATTATTCTGAATACACTAGATACAAGGTAAAGATATATCGATAGAACGCTTTCATCTTGGACTTTGTTGTCGCAGTGCAATGAACAGACAATGCATCATGCGAGTGCGCACAATCGCTTAAGAAAATTAATTTCCGATTATTCAGTTATATACACGCATTATGCATATGTGTGTATATGTATAGTCAAACGATAGACAGCCATATCGGAGGCCACAATTCAATCAGTCAACTGTCAAGTGGGGGTCGACCCGGTCGTGGCCTTTTATAAACCAAATATACATATATATGTATACATACATGATGCACATAGGTATGTGTGTGCATGCTATAATTGAAAATGCACTTAAATGGCAAAAAGCTGAAATGGCAAAAGAGTATAGACATCGCGAAATTATAAATATTAAACAGAATTGTTTACTTTTACGCAATGGCAAAAATATTTTCAGCACAAGCACAAATATAGCGCATACGCCGCATTGTCCGCATAAAAGCGAAATCGAAATGCAAGAGACAGCACATAAATAATACAAAAGTAAAAAAAAAAAAGAAATATATTTTTATATATATATATAGTAAATATCTTTGTGCAGTTAGAAAATAGTCATATAGCGCATAGGCCTCTTACTGCTCTGTAATTTTTGTGCTTGGGGCAGGCAGTAGCCTCAGCAGATCCACGCCCCCATTCGCCCAGTTACCCCCAATCACGTGCTGGCAGCATGATTTATTTCGTCAATTTATGTTGAAAGTGTAAAACGATTTTCTACCGTGGCAAATGAAAAATTATGATGCACATATGTATGTCTGTGGCGTATCTGAAATATTTGACTATGTGACTCATTGATTGACTGACTGATTGACGGGCTGACTGACTGACTGCCTGCTACCCTCTGGCAAAYATTCTGTTGATATTTTGCAATATCGCAAGGGGAAATTACGTTTAAATTGAATTGTAAGCCATATAAAATGATGATTTCGAATGCGATTTATTGCCATAGCAATGTGTGTGTAGGTGTATGTGTGTGTATTGGTACAATTGCTAATGGCATACAACTGTTTCGCTACGGGCTGGCATAAGGAAAAGCCTTGTCCATTCAGAGCTAGACAAAAATGAGGAAATTGCTATCGATGACAGCACATGATTTCGCTCAGTGTATAAACAATATATGCACAGAGTAGGTTTAATGAACACATTATATATGGCCGTTTAGAATTGTTATTTAAATATTTAATTTTGTTATTGTTTCAATTGTTAAATGTAATGTGTTGTTGACTTCAGGGACCAATGAACTCGTCATTAATTTTAGTTGCATAAATAACGGAATTCCAATTTGCATCTTATTTCATTTGGCCGTGTGTTGATTTGTTTTTCATTCGCAATAAATGCAAATGTATTTATTACTCACCCACTCGCACACAGAGTCGCGAATAAAATGAAATTTTAATTTATTTAGCATATGGCGAAATTACACAAAAGCCGAAAAAACCAAATATTTGAAATGTAAAAAAAAAGAAAAAAGCGAAACAGCAAAAAAAAAGCAACAACAAAAAAAAAAAAAACTAAATAAATAAATTCTCGTATTTGTTTTTGAACATTTTTGCTATCTGCCAATGTAGTGAAAACCCACATTTCTATTTAATCTGATTGTTCCGATGCGGGAGTCGCACAGAGATCTGGGCAGCTGAAACCACAAAGCGCCAACTAATTAAATGAATCGACAACAAATGCGAAATGCAAACGAACAAAAAACCATGAGTAAATGCTAAAATGTTGAAATGGAAAAATGCTAAAATGGTAAAGTGGCAAAGAGCTAACCAGAAAGCCGCAAACCTTGCTCCGAATCAAAATGAAAATGCTGGAAATATTTGATTTTCGATTATACCTGCGGCGAGTCAATTAAAATTAACAAACGCATAATTATTTATATGCAATTAAAGTTGCAAATAAAAATATTTTTATTTTAATTTATTTATTTGTGAACTGTTCAGCATTTTGGTTTTGAGTTTTGTTTAGACAAGCGTTTCGTGTTCTTTATTTTTACCTAATATTCGCCCGATATGCAAGTTATGCAAATGCCAGGCAAGCATATGTATCTGTAGCTGTATCAGTGTCCGTATCTGTGAGATATCAGATACTAGATACCAGATACGACAGACCCAAGCCAAAAGCAACTTTATCGCATATGTGCATTTTTCTTAGCTCACGACGTGGACGACGCCGACGCCGACGCCGACGCCGACGCCAACGATAAATGCAAATCTTGACAGTTTTCTTTAAATATTTTTATTTATTTTTTGGCTACAGCTTTTTAGCACAGCCAACAACAACAAGCACAAGTGTCACCACAACAACAACAATAACAACCACAACAATAAGACTGCAAGCGAAGTCGGTTCGCATCAATTCTTGGCTTTATTTTGTCATTGTCTGTCGACGTTATTGGAAAAGCACGTTTCGCATCTTGTGCATATCCGTTCGCAGCAACAGCAGCAGCATAAGTTGCTGCAACCTACACTTGGCGAAAAAGACGTGTCAATAAAACTGCAAGCCTACTAGGAATTCACCTTAAGCTGAGAGGCCTTAAATATGTGATGTTCAATACAAATGCTTCATTTCTCTCTACTGTATTTTATCTCTTAATGAAAGTCCTCTTTAGGAAACAACACCTTAAATATATTTATTACAATTATGATTTCCTAAGCAACTTTTCATTTTTTTTACTAATTATCACTTATAAGTTAAAGAGTTAGACTTATCGACTTACAGTGACGGGAATTTGAAGGAAGTGCGCTAAGCTTGAGGTTCTATTAGTTTCTATTAGCTGTCTTTATTTGCTATTATATCTATTGCTATAATAAGTTAAGTTTGCTATTAAGTTTGTTGGAGTTGATTTTTAATATTTAAATAAAACTAAATTAAAAACTTTTAATTGAATCGAAAGAAATGTCCTATACATATTCACACGAGTATTTCTGTTCAATATTCTCAGCCGTTTAGAGCAATATGAAATTAGGTTGTCTTTAATAAGAAAATATAGGTTTCATATAAATTGAAGATCATAGGGAAGGAATTCCGAATCTAACTTATACCGAATTAAACTCAATTTGAGATTTTTTATATTATCACCCCATTTAAATTTGGATTTCTGTAAAGTTTCTCTACCCAGCTCATATAGCGACT